TTAAAAGATTCATGTAATGTGTTTTAATGCATCATACACCAGAGTCGTAGCTAGGGTTTTCAGCGCCCAGGGACAACTGAAGATTTCGCGCCCCCTACTGCTTGCCAAGGATGGAAAACATTTAATTCTAAAATGTCGTAAAATCAGTTTGGCGCCCCTTGGATTCTGCGCCCGGGGAGATATGCCCCCCTTGCCCCCTTCTAGCTACGCCCCTGTCATACACAGGGCTGGTGCATGGCATTTTCTCACCTGACGCAATCTCTGTGATTCCTAAATCCTCCTGCTTAGTGCCTTTATAAATTCTGCTTCTAATGCCTGTAACCGGGCCTTACCATATATATTTCATATTTCTTCTGAATGTTCACATTACTAAAGAAATAAAATTAGCAGCTTTTTCTATACATTCTAAATGCGCTTAGCTTTTTTAGAATAACATAAATCTTTACTTAATTCCAAAAGGAAAAGGAAACGTGTTGACCAGAATGCAAATCACTAAGACTGTTTTTAAGTTGAGGTTTGAAGTGTAATACAGAGTGTGTTTCTGACCTCCGCTTGCTCGCTGCAGTAGTTCGTGCCAGCTCTTATAAATCTAATTATTTTTCTTTGATTATCGCTGCCGACATTTGAATTTGTTATGACGATAGAGTTACTGAGCCAACTTAAATTAAAATTAAATTATATAGTCTTTGACACTAGTCCACATTTTTAGTGTGAATTTGACTCTTCTTGTTTAATTACATCACCACGAGCTGTAACTGATTTTCTTAGCATAAGAACATGCCTGTATGGGCTAAGTACTTTTTAAATAAGAGGCTTATTTAAACCTTTGTCTGACTTTGTAGTTACTTTCAGACATAGCGATAATTTGCTTCACGTCTGTCATGGGGTTTTCGACTATTTAACTTTTACCAGATCCAAGTAAACGCTCATAGGTACATTGTGGAGAGGTTGACAAGTTAGGAGATAAAGCACGCAGAAACTAACGAGAGTATTGGTTTGCGTATTGAGGCAAATCTCTTATTGTTAGAAAATATGCTTAAAGATAAAGAAATCGATACAAACTAAAGAAAATGTCTGTGAAAGCTTCAAATTAAAAAGACGCATAAATATTTTGTTGAGTGTTGTTGCTACGAAACATAAATTTTTTGACACCTCTGGTGTAAAAAATGTAAATGTTAATGCACCTCTGATGCTTTAGTGGCTTATTGGAACATTAAAGTATATTAACTGGGTTACAATCCCTGGGACTCTAGCTAAAGTTACGATACTAACTGCTTCAGAAAGGGCCCAACTAACTTTCAAAACTTGCCAACCGTGCCCACATCAGTTTTTTCAGGTTTGTTCTGATTAGCAGGTCTTTCTCTAGGCAAGCAGCAGTGGTGACAACAGCCAATCTTTTGTTATGAGTCATGTCGCTTGACATAAATCTACTTGCTATTTACTAAACCTCTAGACTGAGCAAGTATGTGACAAAATGACATAATCATAAAAGTCGATTAATATGTTTCGAAAACGGGTTTCGTTTTCCTATTTCATTTGAGATCAAAAACCGAATAAAGAAGCTATTAAATTTTCATTTAAGACATTAAAATTCATATAAAACCGAAAAATCGAATCTCAAATGTACCAGGAGTTTCCCTGCACGCCTCGAAACACTTGGAAAAAAGAATTAAACATAACATTGTGCTAAATTGACTGCTCAAAAAAAAAAAAAAAAAAAAAAAAAAAAAAAAAAAAAAAAAACCACAAAACTAAAGCTTACTTATGTGTGCTAGTATTTATTAGTACGTGTTCTTTGATACGTCTTTTGAAGTGTCTGAGCATTTCTTCTTTCCATTCTAGGTAAGTTAGTTTTGTACCTATGAAAGTTTCTAGATCTTTTTCGAATTTTTGATAGTGCATCGACATTTAGTGCCGAGATTCATTAATTGCCTTAAATATCTGTCTTCTATAATTTCTAAATTTCCTGTAATAATATGTTGGTGAAGTTGATCCACATAAGGGCTATATTCTGGAAGGTTGTAGTTTCATGTACCTAGAGTATCATCAATCTCATGGTGGTTAATTTTTTAAGCTACTTGGTGTTCTTTCATATTGATAGCTTAATAATTCCTGTACTTTGTCAGGAAACAGATGCAATTTTATAAAAGTAAGTTTGAACTTTTGATTATGTCAAATAGAATTTCCGATGCTGGAGCTCCCAAAGGATCTACGAAAACGAAAGTATGTTTCGATGTCCATCAAACAAAAAGTGGAATTGCTCCTTTGTTTATCTAACCTTATAGCCTTTGTTTATCTAACCGTTCCGAAATCTGTTTATCAATTTCACGCTGCTCTGCGCGGGGGGGGGAGGGGGAACGTGGCGGCGCGCAATGAACTGGAATTTGATCTGTCAACACTATCGTTATCTTCAGGGCAGATGTTTTATTTTATTCGGCTTATAATTCCTTATTAAATGTAGTATTTCATCTCGATGTAATTCGTCTTTGATGTGATTTAAATCAAATTCCTCGTCATTATAAATATCACGAATACAAATCAAATAGTTTTCTGGTTGCAATTTTCTAATTTCGGCTATGCATAATGTATGCTTTATGCATGCGCGCGTTGAAAGAAATGTTTAATAAAGTAAACAAATAAATATTAAGCTTCTTTTTTTTTTTTTTTTTTTTTTTTTTTTTTTTTTTTTTTTTTTGTGTGTGTGTGTAAATTTGGATACCCTTTAGATCATAATTGCTCATTATTTTATAAATTACGGTTTCATATTTTTAATTTTATAATTTCTGTATGCCATCTTACCAGATTTAAACAGATGATCTATAATCCGGAAAAATCGATAATCCGGAATCACCGAAGTCCCGACGAGTCCGGATTAAAGACTTTTAACTGTATACATTTTTGCCTTTCAACTTGTAAGAAATTATCACATTCCATTTTTCATATTCTTGTGGTGTAAGAGGCTTGTAGTTGGAGGATCCATTGTTTAAATCCCAACAAAGGCATGATTTATCACATTATTTGCTTTGGAAGTCCTAACAGTCTGTACAAACTAACTATGAAATTTTCATTAGCTTTGTTTTTTCATGTGTTCTTAATTTTTCTTTCCTATGAGCCATTGTGATTTAAAAAAGTCAGCAACAAAATTACATTTTAAAGTCCAAAGTATTTGCTTTAAAACCATGAATATGGTATAATAGAGTTTTATGTGTTTGCAACAAAGAAAATATTATCTAAATAAATGTAAAATGCTTCTTTTAGTAATTATTTCTTCTTAGATAGGTAGTGTAGGTTTTTAAAACCATATTGCTTCATTTGCATACTTTTAGTTTATATAGAAGCTTTTATTCATTAATTTGCATAAATGTAATATTGATGATGAATATTCATACATAATTCTGACTATCTGTAAATATAATAATTGTGGTGTATAAATAACCTCAATACATTATTTGTGAAACATGTAGTTGAGAGCCTTTAAATAGCTAATAGTTAAATGTACCGTGTGTGAATGCAGATCTTGTGATTCAAAAGCTGTAGAATCAGATTCTAAGCTCACATTCCTTTTTCTAGAGATACTGTTGACAAAGAAATTGTATTATGGTTGCCACGTAAACTTACAATGATTGTCTATAATTTCTTGCATCTCTTAACAGAAGAATTGTGCCATTTTCTTGGACACATGGAAGATTAAATGGATGAGACATTGTTAGTTGGCCAGTCACTTTCAAATTATGTCACAAAAGAAAACATTTGAATTTATACATTGTAGCATAAATTAAGCATGCTAGTGCAGAAAGTGGCTCTAGATCAATGGAAGCATGCACTCGTGCATAATATATATTGTAGAGCAATTTCAGCTTTGTCAAATGTGGAGTGGGACAGGACAAATTGCATGTGCCAGATATTATTACACAAGCCTTTTGTTGGAAGTCTGGCATGGAATCTTGTTTCTTTGTCTGCTGGTGAACGCTGGTGAGAATGTTACAGCTGTAAAGTATACAAATGATGTGACATTCTGAGCTACTGTGCAAGGTTCAGTTGATGATATAATTTCCATTTGATAAGATAAAACTTATCTATATGGAATACTATAAATTCTGTATAAATATTTTAAAAAAAAATTCACACCAATTAAAATTCTGCAGTTCAATTTTTATAATGCTATTTCAAAACTAACAGTGTTTTTATCAGCTTTTATTACTAAAATCATCAGCGTATTTTTTTTTATATTAAGTATATGGATCAATCAGTAAATAAGTGGCAAAAGCTATAAAATACTACTTTGCCACAGGTTCTATTTTTGAATGCAATTTTCATGGTTTTCTCCCTGTTTGACTTGAATCTGAACCAGTTTCCTTAAGAAAGTTTTCAGTAAAGGCTTCCGTCTGAAATTTACATGCTGTTTGCCATAAGTAATAAAACTAACTCAATTCCATTATTTAATGAATTTAGTATGATAATGTTTGATGTTTCTTTAATTTATGGAAATCAAGTTATTCAACCTGTAACTTTTTTTTTAAATAGCTTAGTCATTTCTTCAGAAGTAAGATTAACAACTATGGAGTATGCATGCATTTTATGATAGAGGATTTAAGTTGTGAAAAGTGTTAACTGATAAAAACCCCTCAAGAAAAAGTACTAAAAATTATTCCAACTTGATTTCATTCTTGGCTCAAGTTTGACAAGTAACTGTGATTTTTATTGTTTTCCATGCATTTATAAAATTTCTGCAGATTCCATGATTCATCATTGTAAATTTTCATTTTGCTTCACCTCCCCCCTTGTTTTATTTTTTAATTCTATAATTAGTAAGGTTATTTCTGAATTAATAAGGTTTTATATTTCTTATAACTATTATTTGCAATGTATTTTTACTTGCCATTTACTTATATACTTACCATATACAAATTGTAAATCAGCTGTATTTGACTTTGTAATTATGATTTCAAGCTTTATTTATAGAATTAAATAAGAATGCCTTTTTTTGTTTGTAATTGCAGTCACTACTTGAGGCAAATCTTGGAAGCTGTATGTTACTGCCATAGTAATGATATAATTCATCGTGATATTAAACCACAGAGTGTCCTTATTGCTACCAAAGAAAATTCTGCTCCAGTCAAACTAGGTGGCTTTGGAGTTGCTGTTCAGTTGTCCGGAAATCAGTTAGTAAATCCAGGTAAAATTTTAAAATACCTTCGTTCAATGTACATGCTAACTTCTCTTCATCTAATTTTACAATTTCACCTCTGATTTATAGCATTTGCCTTAAATAAGCTTTGATCTGTACTGTACCATCTTTAGGACAATTATTGCTGTATAATATATGCATCCAATAAATTAAATGGTCATTGCCATCCTGAACATAATGTGCATTTGAACTAGTTTCCTTTGGAATAAGGATGATTATAAATTATCAATAAATTAGATAGTGTATGTGCAAGATAGTAATCTTTTTACAGCCTGCTAACTTGCTTTCCTTCTTTTACAATTTAGTCAGTTCAAGGTTTATTTTAATCTTTAAAAACTTCTCCTTTGATTACTATAATTGAATAATTCTTAAAGTTATTTTTAATACTGGAAGCTGTTGGGTTGTTTAGGTGTATAGACTGTCAAAAATGACTTGCATTATTACATCCCACTGTGCATTACTTTTAGAGTCATCTATCAACAGGTTCATTCCTAGCGGAAGGTTAAATTGTGCACAGCATGTGGGAGCCAAATTTAAGGAGGGTGAAATTATTTTTAAACATATTTCTGTAAAAAAGGATGACCAATTTTAATTTGCACGAGGGCGGTCGATGGTCTAGGGTCGACACTGTCTATCAATCAGTATTGTATCAAAATTTTCATTGGAATGCTGACTGCAGAAGTAAATGGATATGTATGTTTTAAAAACATGGTCCTAAATATTAAACCTAGACATGGATTTTCAGATTTTACAAGCTTTATCTGTCTAAAAGCTGTTTTGACTGATGCTGGATCAACAAAATTGATACTGGTATTGGTTTAAGATTGCTTTTTTACATAATTTAAAAAAATATTAGTGAGTTCTTAGTTTTAAACAACTGGTGACTATTAAGCTATTTGTTTAAAAAAGTTTGAAAAGATTTATTTGTTCAGAAGGAAAGTTTGCCAGCACGTGATAATTAAATTAGGACAAAATTCAATATTAGACTGATAGTGATTTTGTAGAATTTTAGGCATTTTAATGATTCCATAGTTTCTTTCCTTAAAATGCATGACCATTATTCACACAAATTTTATAAGAATGAAGCTGGAGGTTTAATCTTGATAATTTTTCATTAATTTAAAGAACACTTACATGAACAAATTATCATTAGCAAATTTACTAAATTGTGTAATCCAGTTTTCAAAACAGAAAAAGAAATATTATGTAATACAGTTACTTCAATGAGTTTTAGAGAAAAAGGACTCTATAAAATAAAACTTGAGATAGTCGCTTTTCGTTAATATGACTAATTGAAGAAATTACAGCTATATTAAGAGTAAAAAAATGTACATAGAACAAAAAATTTGTTTTGATATAAACTTTAAAAATTCCCCTTCTTGATTAATTTTATAATACACTGTTTGCTTTTTTCAAGTGTAATATTTGATAACCTCTATAAATGCTACACACCTTATAACAAAATATATTTTTTATTACATTCATAAAACCAGTTTTTATTAAGAGAGGTACGTACATCATGCAAAAAAATTTATAGTGCCCTGCTCCATGAAAAACAATCTGAAATCAAAATACGCAATTAAGAATATTTAATCATCATTCTGAAAATTCATTAATAAAATAAATTAGATGTAGGAAAACTCATAAATAAAATAAATGATTGAATGATACAATGATCCTCATCCTATCCTTTAAATGATACTTTTCAGATATTGTAACGAAAATTAATGTTCTGCTTTTGGATAAATGGTTCAGTAAGGGTTGGAAATGTACTGAATTCTTGAGGCATCATGCATAAATGATAAAAAAAATAATTTTCATATTGTTGAAGTGTATCTTCTTAAGGGGACAGTACTCCTTTAAAATTATTTGCATCTTCTTTGTGCAGTTGTCTGCCATATATTGGTCTAACCCACAACTTCTGTTTCTCCTGTTACTGTAAGGCAAGAAATAAGATAATTTTTTATCTAGCACAAACTGGATACATATTCAGTAAAAAACATAACCACAGGAAACCGAAATACCACACAAAAATACACATTTTTGCTTTTCCAATATGAAAAGCCGTCTAGTGTGTGCGTATGACAACTTTTAAAGCGAAAGTATCACTCTAGTATGAATTGAAGTGTGCAAAATTCCCCCCTACATTTCTGCTTTTCATGTCAACAGGCCAGTGTGAACGTGGCTTTAAAGGACTGTGTAGAATTTTTAGTTTTGAAAAGACTCAGACTACTTCCTTATATCCACAGCTAAAGAACAAGGGGAATGAATTTATTCAAACAATATTAGATCTCCTGATATTCATATCCCAGAGTCAGCTGGACTGCAACCAGAAACTGCCTTTATTCCTTCTATCATATAAGGCTGCATTTCTTATGTGTCATATAAAAGCAATCTTCATCTTCTTTCTCAGCTTGTTTTGGATGAGTGTGTGGCACACCTTCTTTACCTGAGCAGTAGCTGCATGCCCATTTAGAAGTTGTGCTTTGGCTTGCTAAAGGAAGAGTCAGCATAATGACTGAGAGGCTTAAGATGAAATGCAAAGCCAGGTTGGTAAGAATTCAAGGGAAGAGACCAAGTGGGGTTGTAGAACCCAAATTAATGAAGAAATCTCATCTAACCTGTAGGCATCATGTGAGAGGAGCCTTTTGTTGGGACAAGAAACTGAATAATGTTCTGGTGTATCCTTTGTTTCTAAACCTTAAGACTTGCACCTTACTGTGGTAAGGAAAACGGGTTATATTTGGTCTGGGTAATTGGGGTGCCTGTTTTATGCAGTCCTTATAAAGCCAATGTTTTAAATTCATAAAAGTATGTGTGATTTGGTTTTTATATATTTCATAACGTTGTGATTTTTTCATTTATTAATTTATCACATTTAGTGGAACAGCTTTATATATAATAAATTAATAAATATGTTTTCATTCAAACTTTTACCCCTTATTCTGCATGTTTATTTTACATATTATGATGTAATTCTGAATTGATTGACATTTGAATTGTAGAGAGAGCTCAACTACGACCTTAGATATAAACAGAAACTCTTATGATGGGAACACCCTTCTATAACATAACATTATCACAGCAAGGTTTGTAAGCTACTATAAACTACCAACTTACTGTATCACTGTGTTACACTAATCTAAACTGGATTAAAATGTGTTAGGTTATGTGCTATGATGCAATGTTTTTACACTCTGAAAATCCAGATTGCTCAAATATGAAAGCGGTAAATGCATTATTGAGCTACTGGTACTTGTTGTCTCTGAGAGTGCACAGCTTTGTACTGTAGCAGGATTTCTTATCTACTAGCCTGGAATTTTTCAGTAATATTGCTATACTTTCTGTGAATCTTTACTTGTGAGTGTCTTTGTTTTGTTTTCATTTCAATGTGATATTAATGTGTTACCATATATATTTCACTACTGCATGCAAGCTGCATTTGTAACAAATGTAGAATGTTTTTTATTCTCAAATGTTTAATTATTTTATGCTGTGTTTTTAATGAATAGTTTTTGTGTACTTTTGTCTGGTTCATATACATCAGTTTTATTGTTGAGTTTTTGAGTTGAATTTTAGACTTATTAGGATGTTACATAAATAAACAAATATAAATTCTCTAAGTTATAGTTTGTTCATTTGTCAAAAATTTTACAGATTTCATATTCCAGATAAATTTTGAAAATATTTGGCTTTTTAAGTGTGTGCTTTTATTTTAATTTTCATTTTGCTGGTTTTACTTTTGCATCATGGTATCATTTATGATGGATTTCTTTAAGAATTTTGTGTTTGCTAAATATGTAATTACGTATTTCATTCTTCAGAATTTATCATTTCATTTTGGTTCATGTATTACTAGTTCCTGCAGATTCAAGTCTGGTAAAACATGGTTTTGGATTTGAAAGTTTCTTGAAATGCTAGATATTTTTTTTTCATTTTGTCATGTTTTTATTCTGTCTGAACTGGCTTTTGCAACAGTTGTAAACACGTTTTAAAAGATTTCTATTTTACAATGTTGTATGTTCTGAAATCATAATTTTCTTTTCTTTTTCTTTTTCTTTCTTTTTTTTTTTTTTTTTTTTTTTTTTTTTTTTTGTGAAAGACTGAAATGATGAATAAAATGAAACATTCTGTATTGGGAAATAAGAGAAAACATGTTATCTATATATGTGAATTGAAGTGCATGATCCATAATTTTGAACTACCCTTTAGTGGTTGAATCTGTCCATCTAAAGCATGTTGAATTTAGGTAGGTTAAATAAATAAATAAAATTTAAAAAAAAAAAAAAAAAAAAAAAAAAAAAAAAACCTATGGTCCAAAAAAATTCTATATCATCTAAATGTAATTTTTTTGAGGGAGGGTGTATTATATATTTTATTTTGACATCTGGCTGTGTCATTTATTTTGATAGATTGCTAAGCCATTTTATGTCAGTTTTTTTCAATATCTTTTGAGCTTAAATTGCAAACTGTAGGAAAAAAAAATTAAGGTTACTTTGTTTTTCAGAAAAATTTTGAAGAGTGGATAGTGACAGTCTTAAGCTTTCTCATAAAATTCTCTCTCTTATAAAGGATTTGGCTTCTGTAAAAATCTTTTGTTGTCTTCAGAAGGTAGCATTTTATTCTCTTAATAGGCATGTAAGCTCAAGCGAGAAGAGAAACACGGCAAAGTAAAATACACAGTTAAGCAAACTAAAGACCTTATTTTTGGTATAGATTTTAACCAAGTCTCTGTAATCTTCGAGGGACCTGATGAAGATGGACCTGTACCCGTTCACCCTCAAAATCACCAGAGTCTTGGTTAAAATCTATCCCAAACATGAGGCCATTGCTTTGCCTAAATCTTAAGCTATATATGTTGTTGTGAGTAGCCATAAGAGTAAAGCATTTAATAATTTTGGGGGGAACAAGGCAATAACATGAATTTCAGAAAAAAGAGAAGAATAAAATAATCAGAGGAGGAGCATTCAAGTATCTAACTGAAGGAG